AATCACTGGGACCTTATCTGTCATCAAGAGTCTGCCTTTTGTCTCATTAAAAATATTAATAGTGCAAGTCATTCTGAATAGTCAGAATTAATGAACCAGGGATAAGCAAGAGGTGCTTCTCTGTGCTGAGTCGGGAATCCAGGAATCGTCTCTGTGAGATACACACAAAATATATGTTTGCCTTCTACTTTCTGACTAAGAGAAAGAAAAAAGTTAAAAACAAGCATTTATTCAACATGTGCTTAATGTACCTATCAGAAGCTTTATCTTCAGTACTCAAGGTTTCAGAATGGTCAAAGCAATGACCACAGACTGACCTGGTTTCGGAACTTGGTTCTGCTGCTACCTGTGTAAGTACCTTCTGCTGTCAGCCCTGGTTCTTCATCTCTGAAATGAGCATGCTAATGCTTACCTCTTGGGGCTTTGTGAAGAACAGATATGAGGATGGTTGTAAAGTGCTCAGTGCTGGGTGTTTTCTAAATACATGCCCTAACCAGGAACAAAGGCCCTGTTTGCTGCGGAGGAAATGAGCTCTCAGCCTCAGGCTCACCTCCACGTAACACTTAGTATTTACAGAGAGGTCCTTCCTCTTCATTTTCCCTTCACACAGGTGCCTAAAGATGCCCAGGTTCAGGTTACATTCAGCCCAACTTAGGGTGGCTGTGCAGCCTCTGTGTTTTCATACCCCCCCCCATTTTTTCTCTCTCCCTTACAAACTGGTAGAAGGCAGGGTTTGGTCACTTATGATTATAACTATCTAATAAAATAATCAGGGAAGGTGTGGAGTTTTTTAAGTCTTCAGAAAAATGCCACAGGCAACCTTCTTACTTAGGGTCTCTTTGTGTTTTATGGATGAATTGATGTTTATACAGATTTTTTTTTCTTGCCATAAAGAGGTTACGGTTTGGCTTCTTGTTCCCCGAATATAATTTAAACAGCATGAAATAAACAAGGCAATTCTAAATTTGGAAAACAAAAATGTGGGTTGTCACATTAACAGGAATTTAACCTGATATAAGTTCAGGAAGTCAGGACTCCTGGTTCTAACCATAATTTTGCTGCTTTTGTGATCTTGGACAAAGCACTTTAGCTTCAGGACCTTGTTACCTCATGATGTTTCCTAGCCCAGCAGCACCAGGTTCTCCTAGGACATTGTTTAAAATGTAAAATTTGAGTTCCCACCCCAATCTGCTAAATATGAATCTGAAACTCTCCCAAGCGTCCCAGACGATTGGCTTATAAACATTGACATTTGTAAAGCCCTGGTCTGAATCTGTTGCTCTTTGGTCAAATGAGATGGTACTTTCCACTTGAACACTTCACAGGGTTGTGATAAAGAACAGATGAGATAATATGATACATATAAACATCATTTTAAACTGCAGAGCTCTGCCTGAATGTGAAAACAGATGATAATCTTGTTATTACACAAAGTGCTTCTCAATGGTAATCACTGTAATGGGATTGGTCTCTCTTGATCTTTGCTCATGATACCTCAATAATATTTTCCAGACTATGACCTTTCGAAGATGAGGGACTTCATCAACCAACAAGCTGATGCTTATGTGGAGAAAGGCATCCTTGATAAAGAAGAAGCTGATGCCATCAAGCGCATCTACAGCAGCCTGTGAAAATGGCAAAAGATCCAGGAGTCTTTTGACTGTTCCAGAAAACATAATGTAGCTTAAAACACTTCTAATTCTGTGATTAATTTTTTTTACCCAAGAATTATTAGAAAGTGCTGAGTTTACAGTAGTTAACCTTTTAGAAATGGATAAAACATAGCTTTCTTGCCACAAAAACTATCTGAAAAGTAAAATTGTATGTAAGCTGAGATTTTGTACATAGAATTCTTATTTCTTCATAGATTTACATTTTATAATCAATGTTGCTCTAGAAAAGCCTCTCATGGACTGAATATAAAACTAAGACTTCTGTCTCACACACTTACACACACACCCTGAAGAATGAAGGGGGTTCTGTTGTCAGAGCATGATGGATCCCAAACCATCTTATTCTAAAATGTCATTTCCACTACAGTTTCCCAGTGGGCACTGAAATAAATTCACATTTCTGCAAACCCTCTATAGCTTGAAAGCCATCTGCTTCTTCAGTTGCTCTTTTTTAGGAGGCTGTTTACTAGGCCCAGTGGACAAAAAGGAACTTGAAAAATGGGTATAACATTTGCTGGATCTGCCCAACGAGGTGGTGTAACCTATAATTTCAGCTGTTTGGAAGGCTGAGGCAGGAGGGTCACTAGTTCAAGGCCAACCTGTTCAATTAAACAAGACCCTGTCTCAAAATTAAAAAAAAAAAGGCTCAGCCCTGGGTTCAATCCCCAGTTTTGCAACAACAAAAAAATTTGTTGAATTTATTAACATTTTATCCCCACTCAGCATTTTCTGTGAGTTCTTAGACACTGAGTTTTCAGATAAAGGGGGATTACTTATGTGCTCTCCAAAAAGATAACAGAGGTTGTAAACAGTATAAAAGCATGTTTAAAATTTATACCAGATCTTGGTTATCTAAACTGGATTTCACCCAAGCAAGGTGGCTCAACAGAGAGCAAAGGACCAGGTAGAGTAGAAATAGAGATTGACAACCATTAATCTCTTAACCCTGTGAACTAAGTTAGAAGTGCTTCCCTGAAGGAAAAGTTTAGTGAATTTTAGGTTCCTGCAACTCCCCTTACCACAGACATGGCCCTGGAAACAAGCATACAGAGGCCAGGGCTCCTCTTAATAATGAGTCAGTGTTCCCAAAGAAGGCTTTGAAATGTATTATTCAGTGTAAATTAATTACATAAATATTTTTCTACTGTCAAAAATTAACCCAATGCTTTGTATATTATCAGCCACTATTTCAGATTGGCCTTCTGATGCCTGTATTGCTGTCTTGAGGATCCTACCAGTATTCTCCTTGCAGTGAGGACTGAGAAACTTACAGGACTTGGTTAAAGGCCATTTTTCAGGAGTAGGAGACCAATGCATCCCTTCCCCATCTCTTCAGAGAGTTACAGAAGCAAACAAAAACCAAAGCCTGACAGACACACAAACTAAGCTGAGCATGTTCTAGAGAAGCCAGTACCCACTAGTGAGTAGGGAGAGGGAGCCTTTGCCCAAACTCCACTTGCAAAGCACAACTCAGACAGCTTTAATGAATCTTGGGATAACATGACCAGCTGCAGTCACGTCAAACAGGCTGCTTCTATATCAGACAATGAACTGGCTTGGACTAAACATTTTATCCATTTACTTTTCTATATGAATAAATATGTAATATTTTTAAAAATATGAAATTTATTTAGATTATTGTAATTTGCAAAGTAAAGTGATCTTCGTTAGCTCCCATTGATAACAATGACAAAAAGGGAAATCATTAGCTTTGTTTTTATAAATGAGGAAAGTGGTTCACCTAAGGAACAAAAAGACAAACTCATGTGGCCTGGATGATGAAGATGGACCTTAACAGGACATGGTTAAAGGCCAGGTTTCTTGTCTCTGTCCACTCTTTCATAGTGATTCTATACCAAGGTAGGGACTAAAGTACTCTAGACCTGTACAGCTCAACTATGGCCACAAAGTTGTTAGGAACTTGATATGACAGAATTTCCACCTGAAATTGCTAAAAGAGGCAAAAATAAAATAATGAAAAAAATTCAAGATTGTGGTCTTAATTTCAAATTTGAGTTTATATGTTTTGGATAGTATCTTTGGATTTATCTTTTGGATTACTCTTAAATTTCAGATCATTTTGTTAAATATCATAACTACATTTTAAAAAGTCCCTAGGCTTCCACAGAGGTTTGCTTGGGCTTTTTTACAGGCATTTTTGTCCCCCCCCCCTTTTTTTAGCTTTCTCTTTTTCCAACTAACTCCCTACAGTTCAGGTTGTAGTGGATACAAGGAAATGGCAAAGCATGATCAATAGAGCACCCTGTTGCAAAGATGCTATAATAGCATGAAGAAAAGAAAAAAAAGGTGGGGGGATAATGCATGTCAAGTTATAAACAAGAAATGAGCAAGTCAAGAGCAGACAGCGACTGCTTCCCATCAACGGGCTGCTGATCAGCCTCCAGGTTGGATACATGCAGTTCTGGTTCTGCAAGCTCTGCTGCACTGCCATCTAAAGGCACACGTTTCCTGTTCCATGGAAGATCTGGAGGAACAAAACAGGGAAGAAGAAAATAACAGAAAAAATAAGAAAGGGACAACAAAAGTCCCTTTTGGCTGGGTGCAGTGGCACACAACTGTAATTCCTGGGAGTCTGGGGCAAAAAATCTCAAATTCAGGCTAGCCTCAGCAACTTAGTGAGGCCCTAAGCAACTCAGCAAGACCTTGTCTCAAAACTAAGGGCTGGGGATGTGGCTCAGTGGTAAAGCACCTCTGGCTTAAATCCCCAGTACAAAAAAACAAAAAAATAATGAAAATTCCTTTTGCTCCAGAGACAACAAACACCTGTTAGGTGATGCCGATGAGCTTAGGGATGGTGATGACCGGTAAATACAGAGAATTGCTGTGGAAGCATAAAGACTTAATCTACTGGTTAAATAGAAATTGATACCAAAAACATACTTAATTGTAAATAGTATATTGCTTGAAGTTTACTGCTATAACCTGTAGTATAAAAAAAATAAGACAAAAACCTAACTCTAAATTCAAATAATGTGGAATATATTACATAGTGATGTACTGGAATACACTGTACAGTGATTACATACACAACACTCTATAAAATGACTTGGTAGTAAAATCTAAACTAGAATTAAGAAATGTGTCAGAACTTGGTATTATTTATTTATTGGTATTCTATATTTTCATTATATCTGAATCACATTGGGTCAACAAAAATGCAAAGGAAACTAGGAACTAGAATTGATTTGCTTTTAGATCATCAAAATTTCTTTCAAAAATTGCATTTATAATAACAAAAGCCATTAATTTAAAAACAGAATTTAAAAATTAATTTTTTCCCATTTTGAAAAAAAAAATGAAGACTCATATGTGAAAACATAGTTTATTTTCTCAGACTTTTGTAGTTTATTTTTACAAAATAGCAGACAAAATTTGGTTCTTTGTATTAATACGGAATATGTAATACATATTGAAATATATATATGTATATAGCACTTAAGTTATAAACACACAGCAAATTCAGCATCACTTAAACAGCCACCATGTTTTTCACATAATTAGAATTTCATTAGGAGCTAAACACTGTTTTCAGCTTAAATATATAAAGTCTTTGATGCTTATCTCCACCAGTATTTACAAAAGCTAGTCTAAAAACTATTACCACCTACAAAAGTAATAAGCTTCAGAATATAATTTTGCTATCATGCCATAATAAAAACTGAACATTTTAAAAAGCCAGAGGGAAATAACCACTTCAGTGCAACTGCAGTAGGTAGACTTAATCGTGATTTTAAGATGAGTGCTATGGGAATCCAAAAGGGATGCTTCTGGATCTTCAGTCACCAGGTTCTTTATGGCCCAACCACCACTTAATCCAGGTTAGAATCATGCCACTAATCACCTAACTGTGATAGAGGGACGTTGCATAGGGACTTTCTTCATCTCTAAACAAACAAACAAAAAACAACAAATATAGCATAAATTAGTATTTAAAATTACAATCAGAAATCTAAAACTATATATATATATATGTAAAGGTACAACTTAATACCTACTGGATAAGAGCGTATCCTCTTAAGAGTATTATGCACACCTTGAAAGTGGCATGAAAAACAAATATTAATTAAGGCATACCTTACTATCTCCATCTTACTGGGGTCTCAGTTATTGGAACAAATAATGATATATAATAAATATATTACATTTATGTAAATTATATTTATATCTGTTTGCTTTCTATATGCCACTTCTTTCTCAAATGGTACTGAGGTACCTAAAACAAACAGCATATTTATAACAAGATGAATAAAATAGAGATTAAAAAATCAGGACTAAGGAAAGGAGAAGGAAGCCAATAAAGTAACCATAGAAGTACTATATAGAGGTCAAACCTGGGCTATTTTACTTGTAAGTTTCCCAGGATCCAGGGGGAAAAAAGAAACACAACAGCTTGTACCTTCTTAAAATCATAAAGCCAGAAGGAAACCAATTCTAGAGGAGATACAAAGGTTTGCTCCAGTACCAAATTTTAAACAAAGAAAAAAAAACTCATAGGAGGACTGGGGTTGTGCCTCAGTGGTACAGCGCTTGCCTAGCATGAGGGAGGCACCACAGGCTCCTCTTCATGTGAAAAACTGCTATCAAGTAAGTTCGATCCTCAGTACCACATATAAATAAATTTTTAAAAATAATAAAGGTCCATCAACAACTAAAAAAATACAAAAAAAAAAGATTTCACAGGAAATCTTATGTAGGATACACTTGGTAACAAATAAGAGACAATGTTTTTGACAAATTTTATAAAGGTCCGTATTGTCCAAGTTTTCTTTATGGCACTGCTTCCTTTGAACAGTCAACAAGATGCTATCCAGAATTACTAGCTGGACATTAATGTTATTAAAGCAAAGAAGCAATTTTTTTATAATAAATAACAGAGAAAAAAGCATTTGTAACAGATAAAGCCTTAAGCATTATGCGGTAGCTCTCTTTGCACTTCATACATTAGAAATGTCTTTCTAGAATTAAAATGTAAAGCAAGGACATCTTAAGAGTAATTTAATCAGCCTCTGACATTTTTTTACCAGGGAATTTTTACCTGCTTTCTTCTTTTAGTTTCTTGGCTGCCTGTGTTGATAATTTAATCTGCAAATCAAGTCTTTGAAGGAAATCTCTGGCTGACACTTCTTCAGGCTGCACAGGCTGAATCTCAGATTCCTGAGGACTGGGAGGAGGGAGGTCTTCCCCACCCACCACAGGCTCCTCTTCATGTGAAAAGCTGCTATCAACAGTTTCATTTTCTGGAGAATCAACGGAGTTAAGTCCATTAAACAACAAAGGCTTCTCTGATATAACTGGGATGTTCAAAGTTTTCTTCAGAAATATACAATCATTGGTAAACAGTTTATTGGCCCTTTTAATCTGTTCCATCTAAAATATAAAAAAAAAATGAAACACAGAGTTACATATAACCAAGTCCAGGAGGAGGATTTACTATACAATGCTGAGCAACACTGACTCTTCAACTGACTCTTCTCTGATAGAGTCTTGCTAAATTCATGAGCAATGTATGTACAATGCCTTCTCTGATTCAAGTCCTCACTTGAGTTTGTTCACCCCATAGTTTGGTCAAACTATGCTGCATCTGAACTTGTTGGAGAAACATCTGTGCTTACGTTTATCACACTGTATTATAGTACATCTACAGACTTCAGCTGACCAGCCTGAGGACCTGCACCACATCAGGCACTCCACATACTAGACACTTCTAGTTATCAAGAGACGTCATTAAATTCTGTTTCCCAATCTTAAAAAAGGAAACTCATTTTCCCCCAGTATATTATTTCTGCTATAAGGCAGTCTTTAGCATTGATGGCCCAAA